GTTGGGTGGGCCCTGATATTTTGATTTTCTTTTTACATATGTATGGAAGTAAGTCTGGAAGGATACATACTAAAAATGCCAACAGTTCTTACTTCTGGGTAGTGGGATGGGGATGATACAGAAATGTTTAAAGAGAAAAGTTAAAAGCCTGCTGGCTCTTGCCTGTAATCCCAGCACTCTGGGAGGCTGAGGTGGGGGGATCACTTGATCTCACAGTTTGAGACCAGCCTGAGCAAGAATGAGACCCTGCTGCTGAAAAATAGCCGGGCGTTGTAGGGGACACCTGTAGTCCCAGCTCCTTGGGAGGCTGAGGCAAGAGAATCACTTGAGTCCAAGAATTTGAGGTTGTTATGAGCTGTGATGCCACAGCACTTTACCTGGAGCAAGAAAGTAAGACTCTGTCTCAAAAAAAAAAAAAAAAAAAGAATGAAAAAAGTCAAAAGACTTTTTAAAAATTGTGTTACTTTTGTAGTTTTTAAAAAGTTAACCCATCAGCTTTCTCTGACAGCACATAGGACTGTGGCTCTTTAGCACTTTACTTTCCCATGGGATTTGCAGTTGTATTGCCAAATTTTTTTTTTTTGGAGACAGAGCCTCAAGCTGTCCCCTGGGTAGAGTGCCATGGCTTCACTGCTCACGGCAACCTCCAACTCCTGGGCTCAAGCGAGTCTCCTGCCTCAGCCTCCCAAGTAGCTGGGACTACAGGCGCCCGCCACAACGCCCGGCTATTTTTTGGTTGCAGCCATTATTGTTGTTTGGCGGGCCCAGGCTGGATTCGAACCCGCCACCTTAGGTGTATGTGGCTGTCGCCTTAGCTGCTTGAGCCACAGGCGCCGAGCCGCCAAATTTTTTTCTGAGAGCTTTCCAACCCTTTTGCTCTGCCTTCCTTTTGAGATACACTAAAGAATCTTTTCTCTGAACTAACAAAACAAAACTCAGTTCTATAAGTCAAGACTGTCAGTTTCAAACTTTATCACCTTCAGAATCACCTTGATGCTTATTAAATTTCAGCTTCCTAGGTCTTGGCTCTGTAGGTTGATTCTGTGTGTCTGGAGTGAGGTTTAAAATCTTGATCTTTTAGAGGTACTTCAGGTGGACAACGAGAAACCCAGTTTTGGTACTGATGTCTGATTGTGCCCCCTCCCATTTCTTTCTTTTTTTTGTAATTAGCAACTGGCAAAAGGAATCTAGGAATGACTCACTGATCTTTGTGGGTCACTATGATTGGGTTCAACAGAATGGGAAAAAAAGTTAATAATGCACAGTTTGGTAGACCTGAGATTTCAGTAACAAATGTTGCTTCTTTGAAGTCAACCCTTTGGGTTAGAGGCTGGTTTGTTCAGCTTCCTAGGCAGTAACGTTAGCCTAGGAGATGACCTTGAGTGAAGGCTATGATGGCTTTAGTTATTAATGGAAAGGAAGGAGGGGCCTTGGCTAGTTGTGAAGTCTTTGAATTGAGATAGATTTAAAAAAAGAGAGAGTGAGAGAGAGACAAGGTCTTGCTTTTTTGCCCAGGCTGGAGTGCAGTGGTGTGATCATAGCTCACTTCAACCTTGTACTCCTGGGCTCAGCTTCCTGAGTACCTGGGCTAATAGGTGTGTGCCACCACACCTAGCTATTTTTTTCTTATTTTTGATCGAGACAATGTCTTGATATGTTGCCCAGGCTGGTCTGAAACTCTTAGTCTCAAGTTATCCTCCCACCTCAGCTTCCCCAAGTGCTAGGATTACAGGTGTGAGTGCCCCTGGCCCACAAATTTTTTTTTTTAAGTGAAGCTTTTGTCCTGTGAAAATTATACCTCTAATAATAAGATAAAGTACTAGATATGTTTAGTCTAAACAGTTTTTTTGTCAGAATGATTTTTTTCCTTTGTTGTATACAGTCTGTTAACCAGCAGCCCTTTGTAGATTATTAACATCTCAGAAGGGTGTTTACAACACATAAATCCTAATTGCTCCCAACAGTTAACCTCAGGAACAAAACTAAATGAGGTGCTTCTTAAGTACTTTTCTAAGCCTTCAGTGAAGCTGGCAGCCATCAGTTAAATAAACCATTAGGTTTATTAGCTTGAGAACAGAAGCATGGACTTGGATAGCTTTCTCATTTATTCAAAGGCTACTCTGCGTAGTGGACATTAGGTAACTCTACAAATAGTAGCTGGAACTCTATGGGGATCATCTGAACAGGGAAAAAAGAACAAACACAATTTAATAAACTTGAAATCTTAGTAGCATGTGTAAAAACAAAAGTGGATTCCTTAAAACAATAGTTTTTCTCTTTTTCCAGAGTCTAGTTTTAATGGGCCCCGTGGCCCAGAATTATCAGCCTTGGATTAGGAGCTTTGAGGAAATGGTGGTTTGGTGGTTGTTTTTTGAAGGATTTGTAAAGAAGCGTAGTTTCTAAGCAACTGCCATGACCTGTTACTAAGTTGGAGTTCAGTAGGCAAGTCAATTCCAATGAAGGGAATATATAAGCAAGTTTTGAGAGGAGAAAAACAGTTTAAAGATAGATTTGGCATATTCTTTTGTTCTGGGTTCAATGCATAGTTTTGTTTTTTACTTGTCTTCCCCAAGATTTATAATTAGGGCTGCCCAATTATAAATCTCTTTGTCTCACATGGTTCTCTCCTTGGTTGATGAGCTCAGAGGGTCAAGAAGAAACCTTGTACTAAGATCCCTTCCCAGTGTAGAGGGCCAAACCCCGGGGTGGGACCAGTGCCTGGGCTGTCTCCAGTGCTTGGTCTGTCTCTAACGGTAGATTGGATTTCCTGCTTTTGCGCTTTCCAGCAGTCCAGAGCTTTTATGGGAAATTGGTCACCACCCTCTCTCTTTAGGTTGGGGTACCTCATTGATATTGATGCATTGCTGTGTAACCTCAGAACAGGGACATTGTCCAGCTGTTATCTTTCTTTTATCCCCCTGTCATTTATGGGTGAATGAGTCAGTGACTTAACTGCTTCCTCCAAGATTTCAGGGACAGTACTAGGTAATGAGGACAAATCACCATAACACCAGTGCTGATGAATGAAAGAGCACACAAATTTAACCAGTTTGTTTCATTGATGGCACAGTGAACAAAAAGAAACTTTGTTGAGAAGAGGCTATTTGCAGTACTTAGAATGCTTTTCCTTCCCCTTTAGGCTTTTTAACATTTCCCTGGATACCCAGATGAAGGTCAAGTTGCTTTGCTTCAAGAAGGGGGAGTGTCAGGTGTTGGAACAGGTGTTTTGTTTTTTCCTGTAGAGTGGGACTAGGTGGGGATGCTTCTTGTCAGCCTTCTATGGTGCATAGAAATGCTTTTGTGGAATTTTTTCTCCCAGAAGTATGTTTGATTGTTAAGCAGTTCCCCAACCTTTAACCCCTCATAAATTTTGACGTCTTTTAAAGTCAGCTTGTCGGCTTGGCGCCTGTGGCTCAAATGGCTAAGGCGCCTGCCACATACACCTAAGGTGGCGGGTTCAAATCCAACCTGGGCCTGTCAAAACAACAATGACAACTGCAACAAAAAAATAGCCAGGCGTTGTGGCAGGCACCTGTGGTCCCAGCTACTTGGAAGGCTGAGGCAGGAGACTCACTTGAGCCCAGGAGTTGGAGGTTGCTGCGAGCTGTGATGCCACAGCACTCTACCCAAGGGGACAGCTTGAGGCTTTGTCTCAAAAAAAAAAAAAAAGTCAGCTTGTCACAGTAAAGTATGCCTGTTTTCTATCATTTCCATAGCCTGAGCCTTAGGTAGACCCCATCTTTGGAGTAATTATAGACCTGGAACATGTGTAATTATTTATGTGTGGTAAGTATTAATATCATATTTTAAATGTACTAGGAGAACATCACAGCAAAGCAGCCCTACAAAAAACTTTTTATAATAATTGTATTACTAGACTGAGTGTGGTGGCTCACTCCTGTAATCCTAGTACCCTGAGAGGTAGAGGTGGGAGGATCACTTGAGCTCAGGAGTTTGAGACCAGCCTGAGAGAGAAACCCTTGTCTCTACTAAAAATAGAAAAACTAGCTAGGCATCATGATAGGTATCTGTAGTCTCAGCTACTCAGGAGGTTGAGACAGGAGGATTGCTTGAGCCAGGAGTTTGGGGTTGCAATGAACTAGGCTGAAACCACCGCACTCTAGCCTGCACAACAGAGTGAGACTCTCAAAAAAAAAAACTTGTATGGCTAGAGCTAATTTTCCCTTTATTAGGGTTTCTTAAGCTGGACATAAACCTGTAGTTACCTTTCTAGGATGATATGGCTGTTGTAATGTTCTCAATGGGCTACAAGGTGGGGCATGAACTTATGATCTCACTGACTAGATGATTTTAGAGGTGAGAGATGTCAGCAGACCTCTAGGTTTGGGAGAATTTATGTTTTAATGTTTAGTTGTTATTAAATCCAAAGAGGCTCTCTGTTGAAAAAGGAAATAACTCAGGAGAGCTTGAATTCTCATATGGTTGTGAGGTTTGTTTTTACCTCTGTACTGGGTTCCAGTATGTCCCCCACCCCCCCAAAAAAAAGTCATCCTGAAAAACCTGTCTTCCTTGCCTAACTATGGTACAATGGCCTCAGGTCCTTTCCAGACTCTCTGGTCTGAGTCTCAGGGCCATCTGTTCTCTGCAAAATGCTTTTTGGGAAAGACTACTTTCCCATCTGCTTTCCTTTGGTGGCCTTAGTCTCGACACTAAATATTTATAAAGGTTGCACTGGAACCTCTTTCTAGTTGTTATTTTTTTAATATTTGGTGAGATTTTGAGGCAGATAGGAGCTTTTTTCATTTCACATATCCAAATGCTACTTGCTTTTCAGGTGCATTCTTTTCCTTTATTAGTCTTGGGTTAGAGGGAAGTCTATCTTTCTGTGCTTGGAGGAGAGACTTTGCTTATGAAAGCAAAGACTGACTGGGCTGGCTCTGGCTGCTTTAGAGCCATATGTCCTCCTGGCTTTTTGGTCACTGGCATGCAGGTTCAGGGTAGCTCCTTAGGTTCATTCTTTTCCTTTGTCTTTCTGACAGAGTATAGTCGCTTTGAATCGAAGATACATGACTTACGAGAACAAATGATGAATAGCAGCATGAGCTCTGGGTCTGGGTCCCTCCGAACCAGTGAGAAGAGGTCCTTGTATGTCAGGTAAGTTGCCCTACCAGGCCCTGTGCTGGCGGAGGAGAGCTCTGTGCCAACCCAACCCTTCTTGTTTAATTAGTGGGGTAGGGAGTGTGTATTCCCAGTACTAAAATAACACTTCTCACTGTATGCTCAGGTTGTGTATTTTATGGTCAGTATCTCCTCCCTTTTGCTAGCTGGCTTCTTTCTTTTCACTCATGAATGACTCAGTATGGGTCAGTACTGGAAAATTTTATTTTGCTCCAACTATAAAAGACTGTTGGGTGATTATTGCTAGTCAGCATTCAAGTATCAGTCAGGTGTTCAAAGTACTTTGCTTACAATCTGTACTTTAAGGTGAAAACTTGGCACCTCCCCCCATTACCTTGCACATATTCATAGTAGACATAAGGATTCTTATCTAAGCATATCAACTATCACAGTGTTATGGTACAGGGTCTTTCTTAAGAGACCAAAGAACTGACAGGTTGCTGCATTTTGAATGTTTTATTGTTTCAATTCCCTCAAGCTCCCTCACCCCCTACTGTATTGGTCTGTATCTATGAATCATGGGATGGAATGGTATATGTTCCCTAGGAAGAGGGGGTGGAGGGAACAGATATATCACGTTGACTGTATTGCTGCTAAAAGCTATCCTAAAATATTTTTAAGGTTGAGCTTCTGACTCTTCAGGTGTAGTATAATGCTTGGTCAGGTTAAAGTACAAATCTCCTGAGTTGGAGTCCCAAATGAACACTATAGTTTCCTTCTTCTGGCCTTGTTTCTTGGTGAAACTCCAACATTTTGGTGCAAGTATAGGGTTTCTCTTCAAGGTTAAAACTCTTAGAGAAGGAGGTAGTATGATTACTTTCCTGGGTCTGAAGTAGCTATGGTGTGTGTTTAATGCTTAGGTGTGTGGCTGTATCACACACACTCTTGGGTTGAACATTTTCTTTTTTTGCATTTTTTTGGCCAGGGCTGGGTTTGAGCCCGCTACCTCTGGCATATGGGACCAGTGCCCTACTCCTTTGAGCCACAGGCGCCACCCTGGTTGAACATTTTCTAGTGGTCTCTGATACCTGCTAGAGGTGGGGAGACTGCATTTGCTAGTTTCCTGGCAATGTGACAACTACTGGGTCCTTAGGATGTGATATGGCAATAGCTAACCCTACTTCAGGGAGGTGGGGAGTGGAGTAGAGTGGAGGGATGCCATCTCTGAGCCTGAAGCCCACTACAACCCTTCACTTTCTTTTCTAAAATGAATCCTTGACTCCAATCCTTTTGTGTTGAGAGCCTTTGCTGTGCTCCTCTCCTGCTGTGAAGGATATGGTAGGAAGGTTGGACTAGGCCTTGGCCATCTTTCTAGCCTATGGAAAAGAAAATCCTATTGTTTGTCATTAAAGCCTTTGCTCCAAGCCTGCAGCCTAGATGCTGGAGCACTGATGGGGAGAATGAGAAATGTGCTGTCGCCCCCTCACCCCCGAAAATGGGTAATGCTTATATGACTTGGTCAGGATTGTTCCATTCCCGTGCTTCCAGCCCCACAAATGTGGCACTCCAGTGTGCGTGGGAAGCTGCTCTTTAGGCAAGACAGTTTATTCAAAGAGCTTTATTTTTAGATTTCCCCTCTCTGCCTATCCTGTGCTAGAGTTCTCCTTGCCTGGGCAGGGGGAGTGGGGCATTGGCTCCCCATCAGGAACACCCTTCTCTGGCCCAGGCAAGGGATATATTCAGCCTAACTCTGGGAAGGAGGGAAGAACCATGACTCTGTTTCTAGTGAATCCATTTATATAATCTGCCCTTAACGTTGTCTAGATAACATTTGTATCCTCTGAGGAAAATAGATATGGTTTAGAAAGTAATAATCATTTATGGTGGCACCTGTAGCTCAGTGGGTAGGGTACCGGCCACATACACCAAAGCTGGCAGGTTCAAACCCAGCCCGGGTCAGCTAAAATCAACAATGACAACTGCAACAACAAAAAAATAATAACCATTTGTGATCACTAGATTTAATCAGGGGAAATATTGTCTTATGGCTAACACAGTGAGTTAAAGTCCTCTGCTCTTTCCCTTTTTTTTTTTTTTTTTTTGCAGTTTTTGGCTGGGGCTGGGTTTGAACCCACCACTTCCAGCATATGGGGCCAGCACCCTACTCTTTGAGCCACAGGCGCCACCCTGCTCTTTCCTTTTATTCCTATACTTGGGCTTTAACTCTGCACTTGGGTTCCCTTTCTTTAGCGTATAAACTTATTTAAGCTTCTTCCATTCTTTTTTGTTTGTTTTGTTTTGTTTTTGGCTGGGGCCGGGTTTGAACCCACCAACTCCGGTATATGGGGCCCCTACTCCTTTGAGCCACAGGTGCTGCCCAGCTGCTTTCATTCTTAAAAAAAAAGAAAAAATTCCCCTTAATATTAATGGTCTCTTAATTGTGTTGTCTTTCTTCATTTGCTTACTGTATTTGCCAAATTATGTGCTAGGAAATGCCAGTTCTTCAACATACACGATGACTCACTCCTGTTGGAAAGCTGAAACAGGAGGATCACTTCAGGCCAAGAATTCCAGACCTGCCTGGGCAACATAGCAAGACCCAATCTTTGCAAATAAATAAGGTTTTTAAAAAGTATTGTATGAAAAGTCAGTAAGTTGGGCAAGTGCTGGCTGAAACAGAGGAAAACACGGTCCTTTCTTGTGATTATTCTCCAGTAGAGACTGTACTAGGCAGTTCCCCAAAATATAAGAGCATGGGAACATTATTTGGAGAAACCTAATCTTAACATTCAGGTTGGGAGCTTGGTGCCTGTGTCTCAAACAGCTAAGGCGCCAATCACATACACCTGAGCTGGCGGGTTTGAATCCAGCCCGGATCTGCCAAACAACAATGATGGCTGCAACCAAAAAAAAAAAAAAATGGCCAGGCGTTGTGGTGGGCGCCTGTAGTCCCAGCTACTTGGGAGGTGGAGGCAGGAGAATCGCTTGAGCCCAGGAGTTGGAGGTTGCTGTGAACTGTGATGCCACAGTACTCTACCCAGGGCTACCACTTGAGGCTCTATCTCAAAAAAAACAAAAACAAAAACCATTCAGGTTGGGAGATGTTAGAGTCATCTATACTTGGCTGTTGCTACTTCAAATCACCTCTGTTTCACTAGCCCAAAAGGAAGTGTATATCTGCATTTCAATGTGGTGGTTCTGAGCAGCTCTGGGAAGCTCCAGAAGAGCAGAAGGTTGGCTCTGTCAGGGATCAGTGGTGACCTCTTAGTTATCAGACTTAACAATTGGTTCTCTGACATTATTTTGACCTCTTCACCACATTTGTTTCCATGAATTACCTACTTCTAGAAGGCTCTCTTACTACCTTGCTGACCTTTTCTCAGTACCTTTCATTAGCTCTGCCCCCTATATGGCAGTGTCGTTTATTTTCACAGCTTCAAATCCTATTGTTGTATAAATGACATCCTTGATCTCTTTACCAAACTCCAGACCTGCACGGCAACTACTTGTCCACGTGTGCATAAAGCTGCCCTTCCAATGCTTCAAACAAGCAGCATGTACTTTCCTTATCTAATTGCCTCACCCTATCATGTATAAAAGGAACAGTTTTGTTCTGTCACCCTAGGCAGATTGCTGCTTAACATAAGAAAGGAAGAACTGGCTCAGTTGTAGCTCCACGGTTAGGGTGCCAGCCACATATATCAGAGGTGGCGGGCAGGTTTGAATCCAACCTGGGCCTGCCAAACAACAATGACAACTACAACCAAAAAATAGCTGGGTGTTGTGGTGGGCGCTTGTAGTCCCAGCTACTTGGGAGGCTGAGGCAAGAGAATTGCTTAAGCCCAAGAGTTTGAGGTTGCTGTGAGCTGTGATGTCACAGCACTCTACCGAGGGTGACATAGTGAGACTCTGTCTCAATAAAAAGAAAAAAAGAAAGAAAGGAAAAACTGATGATTAAAACTGTTGGGAAATCCAGTGGACTGTTTCTGGATATAGTAAATTTGATCTTTTGTCACTCAAGGTATTACAGAAGATACTGGGCAATCATTTGCCTGGGTGTTGCAGAGGGGGTTGAAGCTGAAGCTTAGAAGGTTTCACTAGTTCCCCAGTGTCTTCAGAGTAAAGGGGAACAAACATTTAAGGAACACCTACTCTATATCAGGACCTTTGTTATTCTCTTTGAATGGCTTTTAAAGTCCTTTTAATGGCTCGGCACCTGTGGCTCAAGTGGCTAAAGCGCCAGCCACATACACCTAAGGTGGCGGGTTCGAATCCAGCTCGGGCCCACCAAACAACAATGACAGCTGCAACCAAAAAATAGCCGGGTGTTGTGGCGGGCACCTGTGGTCCCAGCTACTTGGGAGGCTGAGGCAGGAGACTCACTTGAGCCTAGGAGTTAGAGGTTGCTGTGAGCTGTGATGCCACGGCACTCTACCCAGGGGGATAGCTTGAGGCTCTGTCTCAAAAAAAAAATCCTTTTAATAATTCTACAAAGTAGATGTTATGATTCCCATTTTGCAGATAATAAAACTGAGACTCCAGTTAGATAGCTATGAAGTTCCAAAACTAGAATTTGAACCTGGTTGCTCAGGTGTGGTTCATTTAGCATTTTCCCAGCTTACTGATAGGGATCAGCTGGAATATTAGTAAAAAATACAAATTCCCTGCCAGTGAGTTGAGTTGGATTCACCAAATTTGGCAAAATGTATTTTTTTGAGACAGAGTCTCACTCTGTTGCCCAGGCTAGAATGCTATGGTGTCATCCTAGCCCAGAGCAACCTTAAACTCTTGGGCTCAAGTGATCCTCCTGCCTCAGCCTGCTGAGTAGTTGGGCCTATAGGTGCCCACTACAATGCCTGGCTAGTTTTTCTGTTTTTAGTGGAGATGGGATCTTACTTTCACTCAGGCTGGTTTCTAACTCCTGAACTCAAGCAATCTACCTGCCTTGGCCTCCCAGAGTGCTAGGATTACAGGCGTGAGTCACAGCACCTGGCCTGAAAATGTATGTTTTTAGCAAACAGAGCACTCAAGAATAA